TCTTGGCTAGCCTTGAGCTATCTGTATAACCCAGACTGGCCTCAAATGTGGTGATCCCCCTGTGTCTTCCTTCCAAGGGCTAAGATACCGTGTGTGCCTCACCTAGCCTGATCACATCTGGTCATTAACCACTGTGTGCCTGGTTCTCTGCGGCATGCTTTATGTGTGTGCTTTCTTGTTGTGTCCTATAAACTCTACGAGAGTGGAGCACTTCATTTTATAGATGATGAACAACTAAGTGTAAAATATGTGGGTAAAATCCATCCGGTATTGAATAGTTTTATTCTATTGAATAGGTACTGAGATAAATTCATGAACAAGACAAATGTGTTTTGTCCCCCTTCGGGGAACTTGAGGTTGCATAACTAAGGAAGTATAAAGGTCAAAATTTTAACACAGTGACTGTTTTCTCAGTGAAAGTATTTACTGAGTAAGCCTGATGTTCAATCCCTAGAATCCACATAAAGGTAGGGAACCAACTCCCAAAAGTTGTCCTCTGACTTCCACTCACACAACTGTGGTTCTTAGACTTCCCTCCCTCTCTGGCTTTCTCTCCTTTACACACAAATACTTTAAATGATTTTCACGCAAATATTATATCTGTAGAATAACACACTGCCTCCTACTTCTGCATTGATTATAATCTGGAAGAAAAACTTAGTCAACCAAAGTAATCCTCATTTATAACCTGGAGGAGTGTTCAGAAGGCATCCATACTATGCAGTCACTTTTCCAGTCTTTCTCCTCCTCCAGGCTGCTGGAGCCCATGTGCACAGCACCCTCTCAGTCATTAAAGGTGGCACCATCAACACTAGTGCCCAATCTACTTGGCCTTAAATGAGCAGGAAGCCAGGCTCTTCCCAGACTCCCCCCCTCTTTGCCTGGAGTTCAGACTCCACTCAGACACCTGCTTGGAGATGGCTGTTTGAGCTTTCAACAGTTTTTCTCTTCTTTCCTCCTTCCACTAGTTTCTCCCTTCCAGTCACTCATGCAGTATCTTTCAGAAGGTTTTAATTTATTTATTTTCCATGTACAAGTGTTTTGCCTACATGGGAATATGTGGACCAGATTCGTGCAGTGTGCAGAAAGACCAGAAGAGGATGTTGGGATCCTTGGAACCGAAATCAACTTAAGCCACTGTTAGCAGAGGTCTTCTTCTTCAGGAAGACCAGCCATCAGTGTGGACGGCACCAGAACCTTCTGGTGGCAGCCCAGATGGAAGGACATGGAAGAAGGAAACTTGGCTCTTTGTCTCATTGGTCTCACTCTTGATGCAAATGCTTCTATCCTGCTCTACTGTTTTGCTGCTCTTCCAGCTTCCAATGTAGATCGAGACCACCATTTCTCCAGGGATCTGCCAGGCCTTCAGGGCCAGATTGGGACTGCTGGGACATCCAGTCTCATGTGCCACCTCACTGAGAAACTACTAGATTCTCAGATGCAGTGTGAGAAAGCTTTCATTGGACTTCCAGGACTGTATCCTATAAGTCAGCCCAATAAATCTCCCTTTAATACCTGTGTTAATTCAACCCGCTCTGTTCCTTTAGAGCCACCGTGTGAGAGCCCAGGTCCTCTGCAAGAGGAGTAAGTGTTCTTAACCACTATGTCATGTCTCCATCCCTCACACAGTTTTGAAGACTTGCACTTTTCCAGTGGTCAGTAAGACAGATATTCCTGTGCTCCAGGGCAGGGCCAGTCAGCATTAACTCCCTTCCTCTCTTTAATTGCATTTGCCCACTATAGTTTTTCTATATGTCTAGCCTTTGGTTACTGTGATATTGGGTGAATTAACATGGATATGCATTTACTTAAATGATAGTCTTCCTTGATTGGTTTGGTAATTACAAGTTCGCATGCCAGAGTACAGTTCCTGGACTGTGCTTTGTAGAGAGGAGTACCACCTAAAAGGTTTCAATTCATTTTCCCACCTTCAATCATTGAAAAGCATTCTCTGGGAGAGGGGCTGTTTTAATTTTTAATTTTCCCCAGTGATTCCTCTACCTGACAACCTGGTAATTATACAAGTTAGATAACATGAGTGTGGCAGAGAAGGGGAAGGGTTCCCACAAGTTAGATGAGTCAGAAATTGTTATTTCTCCAGATAAACTTTTACACTAAAACATGTTGCTTGGCCACATAAAGAGTCCTTCCCATTTGATGATGAGTCACTGAGGGCCAAGACAACACCATTGCCCTGTTTGTGAGGCTTGCTCTCCCTTAACCATTCAGCCACCGCCAGTGGCTGCACTTAACATGCTCTCTGTGTTTATTGAATTGAACATGAAGGTAGAAGCTGGTTTTCACCAGCTGGTGTAAGCAGCCTTGCAGAGAGATCAAGTCCTGTAAAATGGGGAACCTGGGTTCTATTTCCCAATTCTCTGAGTGTCTTGTCTTGTAGCCTGAAGGAAATCACTCAACTTCAGTGGGGCCCAAGTCTTTGAAAAATGGAAAAATAATAAGATTATTTCAAGGTGTCTCGGCAGCTACCAAACTCCTAGAACTGTTCTGTAGAGACTGATTGTAAATCTTTACTTTGGGTTTAACATAGACAGGCTTGATTGATTTTATTTTTTTGAAAAAGAAAAAAGTTTTTGAAAAAGACATCACTAGAAGACTGTCTGCATACACTCTAGACATTTGGACAAGATATTGTGCAATTAGATATGTAAGTTTTTGACTTACTGTAAGGGGTTTTCTTACCTTTTTGAACATGTCTATCTCTCTCCTGGCTGCCAAGACCAGCTCACAGTTCTGCTCACTGGCGCTGGTTTTAGATCTTTTTCTGTCTCCATAGTCATCAAAGCTCACAGAGTTGGTAGACATCAATCCATGGCTGGCAAAGGGTCATCGATAGGAGAGTATATGGCCCAGCTTCCAAGGAGCCTTGACCTAGTAGTAGAAGTACACCATGTTAGCTACACAGATTCCTTCTTTGTTTCTCTTTTCCAGTTGCAGTTGTGCTCTGATAATTTCAAATGAAGATTTGTTTTCCTTTCTGTCATTTGATTTTGTGGTCCCAGCTAGCTGGAAATTCACTGTATAGACTAAGCTGGCCTCAAAGTGACTGTAATCCTCCTGCAGCAGCCGTCTGAGTGCTGGACTTGCAGTCAGTGACTCGATACCTGGCTTTAGTGAACTTTTTTTTTTTAAAGATTTTATTTATTTATTATGTATACAACATTCTGCTTCCATGTGTATCTGCACACCAGATCTCATAAGGGATGGTTGTGAGCCACCATGTGGTTGCTGGGAATTGAACTCAGGACCTTTGGAAGAGCAGTTGGTGCTCTTAACCTCTGAGCCATCTCTCCAGCCCGTGAACTTTTGTTTATGCTTT